GTTAAAATATGTTTATTAAATAAAGTCTAATGTTACAACTAATCAGGGATCCCTTCAAAAGAGCAGAAATCAAGTGGACACCCTTTTTGGAGTATATAAAATCTTTACTCTTATAATGTGTATAATATGTAGTATGATGTAAGTAACCCACCATGTGACTAAGTTAAAAAAAATAGACAAAACACTATTAACCACCCCCCAGCCCTCTTTTTATTATTATTTTATTTTATTTATTTACTTTATTATTTATAACTTTTAGTTATTTTTTTATCTTTTCTATTTTTATGTTTGTATGGTGTTGTGTTTTTTGGAAAAAAATTGGAGATTTTATATAAGTTTTGCGAAATGTATCTAATGTAAATAACTATAGTTTCCTAATAAACAAAAAAAGGGAGGAGAAATGAAGTGTAGAGCTTGTTTTCTTGAACACACCTTGTCGTTGTTGAGGAGGAGCAGAGGTAGGGAGTAGGTCTGTGAGGGGCTGAAGTTCTGAAACACCAGCTCTGAAGGGTACGGCTGGAAAATCGGCTGGTTTGCGTTAAAAAAAACAACAATGAAAACAATAAAACACAGGAAAGCTAAATTTTGCGTGTTTTAGCTTGTGGGAGAATTATAACACACAAATATTAAAAATAGAAATACTGGTGCCTTCTTAAAACTCAGATTAACATGTTGCTAAAAAAACAGGATAAAATCGTGTTAGCAGCTGTTTCCATCTCTAAATTCTTACAGATTTTAACATTTTACATTCAGCTTATGGAAACGTACATCTGCTGAAGTTTATTTCAGTAAGTTATATTCATCTTACATGACTGTACCACTGCCATAAAAAGGAGAACAGTGTGTTTTTTATGAGCTGTAGAGGTGCAGGATTCTGCTTCTACTCATCACCTGCTGAGGCTCTCAGCTTTCAGATTTGCATATTTAACAAGTCAACAAAAAAAGAAGACGACAAGGTGAGACATAGAAGGTGAAGTTTTTTTCTTCCTCTGGTTAAATCTGCTGAGTTGGCATTTATAACTCTTAAAGGCCTTTGCGTGAACTCTTTCTGCTCCGAGGCTCTCGTTAAATGTGGCCCCTAAAAGTAATGAGCGTGAAGTCACATTGTGTCTTCTGGCCAAGCAGCTCCAGCTGAGTCAGATATGTACTTTGTAGTGCAGATGATTGTTTTTCTCCTAGTTTGTCATTTATGAAACTTTTTCAGCTTCTAGAACAAGTTTGAAGTTGTTTCCATCATTCTCTACTCCTCTTTTCAAAGTCCCCTGTGACCACTCCTTCTGTCTGCTCTCGCTGAACGTCACCTGAAAGGCTCCTGAGCTTTAGATGACGTTTACCTTGTGATGCAGGGTTCTGCTCGTGTCGGGCCACCCCAGAACCTGAGGCTGACGCACCACTTTGGTGCTTCTCAGGCGCTGCTCTGTGGACTGAAGCAGCTCCTGGGCGTAAACTGCCGGCGTCATCTGCAACAGTTCCAGAGGTTATTATCTGGAGTGTACTGACAGATACTTTACCACCTGTTAAATCCTACAGCAGTGATGTGGCTGGTTCTTAACCTCTTAATGTGCCTGGGACATCAGAGTTTTGTATTAATTATAAATGCATTTTTGGAAAGAGAACATTGATAACATGTTGCAAAAAATATTTCATACTGCTGAGCTAAACAGTTGTTGAGATATTTGCATGTGAAGTAACAGGAAGTGATGTCAAAGGGGAATGTCTGCATGTAAACAGAGAATGGTTACAACGGCCGACAGAGACTAGAATAATCTGATGCTCTTTAGATATCAGAGAGTTCAAAGTATATTGTTTTAATAAACAAAAACCAGAGATTTTCCCATCTTAAAGAGTTCCTCTTTGATGTCACTTCCTGTTTCATTTTGGCTGAGCCAAACTCAAAAGAAAATCTGCCAGTTGTGCAGCAAAATGTGTAAAATCATGTGTTTTATGCCAAGTTTCTTAAATAAAAAGACATTTTCTTTGACTTTTTGTATTTGAAGGATAGACATGTCACAGGCACTTTAAGCCCCGATGGGTTTCCTTGAGTTTTTTTCTCTAAATCCCATGATGAAATGTAACTGAGTGTATCTCAGCATTAACAAACTCTACTTTAATAATCCTGGTATCAAAATAAAGCAACACTTGGGAGATTTCATCAAAAGTGTGAGTATTAAAACAGCTGCTGTGGTTTTACAGATATTGAAGATGGAACTTTTTTTCACTCTCACCTGAATAATCTTTGCATTAAACAGTATATAACCTGTTTAAACCCATAATGAATCAGGCTAAAAACTCTTGGAAACCATAAACCCACTTGTGGACATCACCTGTACAAAGATTCATGCTGCTAAATCTAACTGGAGCAAAGTTACAGAGGTTTTAGTAAAAAAATAATTCAGTGTTTTGTCTTTCTGCACACAATGGACCATGATGGTACCATTAATAAATGTTAAGAAATCTGAAGTTTTTACATCCAAAAGTTATTTATTTTTTCTTATTTCTTACCTGCCTGACTTGTTAATAAATGTTTGTCCTTTAAAAAATTATCCTATATATATATTATATGAAATAATGAGAAATTATATTTGACTTCACTTGGATCATATTCACTCAAAATCAAGTGAAAAAAAAACTTTTAACACACTTTATAACCTGTTTAGGTATCTACTTTGGCTTGCTTTAAAAAAATAATGTTAAAAATTTTACCTCTACAGATTTGTTATAACGTCTTTAAAGATTTGCAACAATCCCATTTTGTACAATTTGTATAATTTCTGATTCAACTTGACGTTTGAACTGTTTGGTGGATTTAAAAATTTGCTTTTAGCCAAGATTCTTAGGTTTATTTTGATACCAAACATATCCAGGTTCAACTCACCGATCTTAAGTTTAAAGAAATAGAAAAGGGAACAATCTGTTTTACACGGAGCTCAAAGAAAGATGAGCTCAGCAGCTGCAACACATCCAGCCTCAGAGAGGACAGTCAGCAGGGTTTTGTGTTTAATTTACCTTTTAATCAATCCTTTGGCATCTTTTACCAAAAAAAAAACAAACACATCTGAACACAATGTATTTTAGGGAGATAAGATCTTTAGGATAATTGTTGTTGAGCTGATGCTATAAAAACAACATAAATTCAACTAAAACATTAGTTTTTGTTATAAGTATCAATAACTGCATTGCTAAATTGAGAAAAAGGTGAACATAAACTCCTAAAAGGTGATAAGTTTTTACATTATTATTTAAAATTTATAAAGTGTATGTTTATGAATTACTGTTTGAGAAATTGAACTTTTGTTT